TCAGCGCCTTTATCCCCTAAGCCATTCATGTTGCAGCTCATGCTCATTCTCGTTGCGCCTGTCTTCATCTCCGCAACCATATACGTCAATCTCGGAAGACTAAAAGAGGCCTTGCTAGGCCATCAAAGGCGGAAGTGCAGCCCTACCAGTATCTTCATTCTCACGGATATCATCGCCTTCTGCACACAAATCGGCGGTTCACTTGTGCAAGTTATTGCAAACCCAAAGATCATGGAAATTGGAGGCCATGTTGTCTTGGGCGGTCTACTTTTCCAACTCTTCGTTATGGTCGTCTACTTTGCTCTCGTCATGCGATTTCAGCGGGCTACGCAGAGGGAAACGATTTATTTACAGCATTGGAGACGTTATGTTTGGACCCTGATCATCTCGGTAGTTGCTGTCTGGGTGCGAAATCTGGTGAGGGCAACGGAATTCGCTGAGGGTTGGTACGGGTTCGTCAATCAGCACGAAGCCATGATGTACATTTTTGACTCGTTCTTGATGTTCTCTGTCATGGTGGCCTTCGCTGTCTTTCATCCCGGTAAACTCAACGATACAGTAGGATTGGGGAAGAACACGCAACGTATCAACTCGGAGCAAGTGGTGATGGGTCCTTTCGGGAACATAGTCTAGCTGTAAAACATGGATGATGTATCCGCACAGATAAAACTCAAGTGATAGATAGCATGCGGCTGGAACAATGTCTTATGCCGGTGAGCACAACGGCCTCGGGCAACGAACCCGACTTGTCCATGAAGGGCTGACCATCTTCAAGACTAGGAAGAGTGCCAGCATCGCTGGCGGTTCAGCTGCTGCAACAGTCGTGGCTCGTACGATACCAGAGCCATTGTTACACTTCAGCCAGCCCAAACTCTCCAGTTGTAGGACTGATCGACCATATCTCGGTAGTCAGAAGCTGCAAGCGGATATTGTTTCATATCTAAGGTTACCACCGTTACGGCCCGCGTGAAAGTCGGGGCCGGGGCTGTTGCGAGAAATGCCAGAGCCGAGTCTAGGCCGCTCACATGACTGCATGCGGCTACTCAGCTGGATTTCAGCCGACCCTTCTTTCGCATCTTGACTTCCAAGGTCATTTACGTTCACGAACAGAGCGGTGAGTTGTATCGCGATACTTCTTCAGCCGCAAACGCAAACAGCTCCTTCATTATCGGCGCGAGCTTTTTCGGTCTCGTCCGCACAAATTCTTTAGTCTCATGAAGTCTAAGAACCAATCTTCTTCTCCACAAGCTGTTACCACAACTTATCGTGCTCCAGTTCCATCCGTTCGCTATCGCTAATATATTTATCAAGCCACTAGTGCTCATAAATCAAGTGCTCGATTCGTGTAGTCAGCCTATCCGGCTTCTTAGAGTCTTCGTCAAGCTTGAATATTTATGTAAAGTCGTATAATACAAACCGGCAATTCACCGTATATTAGCAACTTACTTACCTGGGTGCCTCCTTGGTCAGATACAACCTCAGGTACCTGTTGAGCTGTTTCGGCTTGTGAAGCGCGAGAGAGAAATAGACCGCCAAATTCTTGCCTTCTCCAGTTCGCACGATCATCGACTTGTCAGAATCAACGGTCACTATCCCGTGATAGATGGCAAAACCACAAAGTACTGCCGCTACCCGATCCGTACATTCGACTTTACTGAGCTTGATGGCAAGGAAAAGTGGACGGCGTATCAATTCACAAGGAACGTCTACACTGTTTGGGTACCGACACACTTCAAGAGGATATGCTCAATCATCGACCAGATGCTGTCCAAATTTGGATTTCGATGTCCCAGAGCTTCCGGAAACTGGCCTTTCCCAAGAATTTGGCAATTATCACCTTTCGCAGTCAGATGTTGACTCCATCCCAGCCTCTGCCGAAGAGAATCACCAGTCTGGTACTCCAAACGAACGCCAGACTACCTCAGATACTTCAGTGACAGGCTTAGCACCGGCAAAGAAGGCAAAGAGGTCTCAAGGAGGGAGGCACTAGGAATGCCTAGACATACATGTACATTAGTAATGAACCGCGAACTACACGAGATGCCAGCCAAGAGTAGTTGAGGTTGGAGAGCAATGTGGGAGATTGGCAGACAGCTGGTCTGAGTTTTGCGCTGGCGAAGTCGGGCGCTACGGATCAAGGTCCGGAGCGCGTCGGCTGTTGGCCAAACCCCGCTATCCAGGCATATACTGGAGGATGTGGCCTAACGCTAAAGGAAGTGTTCATGAAACTATGATTGTGCCGTTCGATCCGAAAGCTCGTGTTGGGTGTCAGTTGTTGGTTTCGACTTGAATCGAGCTTCCCTTTTCGTCGCTTATGCCAGGGTGTAGGAATGTGGCCGAAGCTTGTATTGACTGTTAGTCGATAAAAGGCCCCTGGTCACTCGTGGTTAGTCACCTTCTGATTTGTCTCGACAATCCAGTCCCAACACAAATCCTATGTAGCCGGGCGAATTTGAGGAGACCAGTTCTGACCGGTGCTCTATTTTGGGCTCTAGCGTCCTGCATCCGTGATAGAACCAACATCATGGCATTTCTCTCAGCTTCGCTCTGAAATGTCAACAATGACAGCAAAGACCTGAACTGTGTTTCGTTTCCTGAGTATCTGGAACATAAAAAGGAGACCGTTTCTCTCAGAGGAAAGAAAAGTAAAGAGGACCTCTCATCGGAAAAAGCTCAAACACATTCACCTCACCAAGTCTCCACCAGAATGATCATTGGGTTGTTCATCGCCATGCTTATAAATCCATTCAGACCTTGTGAAGGCTCGCCAACCTTCCAAGAGCAATATTACAAAAGTGCCTTCAAGCCAAGATTCGTCGATGCCTGGCACGGTCCCCAGATTGTAGCGCCTGATACCCCCTACGTCGCAGCAGTCAGCAAAAACAGCCTGTATTTTATTGATACCCGTTTCGACTCTGATACTGCGAAGCATATCAAAGAACAAATCGAGTGGGCTACAGTTCCAGGTGGTGCTAACCACGTCATCAACATTGATGAGCTTTCTGCCACGGCAGAGGTCAAAGACACTGCCACAGGCGAGACGCTGTTCGTCTTCGACCCCCCTTACGCCCGAGTGCTATTCGCGAAGGGTATCAACAGACGTAACCCGGCACTCAGGCTGCCTGAACATGAGCCAGCCGGCGAATGGTTGGTGACCTACGACCACAACAGCTTGACGGCGAGAGACTCATGCTACGACTACGGCTGCAGTAACAATCAGGACTGCAAACGTCAGACGAACAATAATTGCGATGTCTGCCATAACTACAGAGCTGACAACGAGTGTGACAAGGCGCTAACCAACGCCATCGGCGTGTGCCGGCCGCTCTGTAGCAAGAAGACGGACGTGCCAAAGGAAGAGGGAGAGGATGACATCACTTACTACAAACGCATGGACGACTTGCACTGGAAGTAACAACCTGCAACGGGAGAGGCATGAGGCGCTAATTTTCAACATGCTTGCTGAAGGTTTGAAGGAGACGATAAGGGATGAGAAGTGAGAGGGCGGCGAGGAAGGTATGAAGGGAGAAGAGAAATCAAGCGGGATATTCAATCAAGTCGCCATCACGGCGTGGATGCATAATCTAGGATGAGATCGTCCGTTTCGCACGCATTTCGGCCTTCCGAGCTAGATGACATATAATATTCCTCAGCTATGACTGATTATCCATGAAACTATATTTGCATCGACCATGTGGGATGGCAAAGAACCCTGCCGATACTCGAGGCTCTACCAGAATCTAGGACGACGGTAAATTACTCGGTTATGTTCTGGCCTCAGTAACCCGCGGTAACTCGATGTTCTGTATATTCTATTAGGAGAAGATACAATAGCCCAAAGAGTAACCACTGTTAGTAACTGTTACAATCATAGGGAGCTCTAGTCCACTACACTATCTTACTTCATTGTTAGCCTATGCAAGCTAAATACGTCTATTATAGCGGTCTCCCTAGATATGGGACGATCAATTACGGTTTACGGGGACACTTAATATTTTTCGATGTTTTAGACGAGTCCGGATACCAGCCGCAAAGTTCAGAGTGGTTATGCTCGGGGAAGATGAGGCAGATTGACGGGGACTGTATTATACTTATTGTGGATAGAGAATATTAAGTTTTGTATCCAATAGCGAGTAGACGCTCTACCTCGACTAAGAGACTCCACTTAAGACCGGCATAGGAAATTCGGATAATATAATATGTATAATATGTTATATATTTTTAGCTAATTCCCCAAGACATCACTATCGAACAATCAGGAAAGCAGGTTCATGCGAATTATCACGTCCAATTCAGAGGGCTTGGAGATTTTAGGACGGAGAATCTCAACGGGCGACTCGGTCTGGTTTCAAGAGGCACTGGCCCTCTCGTGCGTATGTCGTTGACCCATCAGCTCAACCGCGATGGTCATATCACAGGAATCGAAGTCAGCAATTTTGCGCTGCTTGAACAAGTCTAGTAGAGTCATGGTTAAGTGATAGTATAGAAAAAGTCGAATATAATGAGCTCACGGACACCTACTTTGCATATATTTGACGCATCACTTGGAATAGCCCAAGAAACGGCCAATCTGGAACAGGGATCGCAATCATCGCCCCACGCTGGGTCGCTGACTCCTAGCATGATATGTAATAGGGAGATCGGCGCAGAATATAGGGAAAGGTCATTTATTAAAAGTGAGAAATGAGTACGAATTCGCCCCGAGATAGGAGGCGTGAGGGAGTAAAGACCTTGTTAATTACGGAACCAAGGTTACGTGGCTTGCGGTAAGGCCCCGGCTAGCTGAAGCCATCATGATATTTTAGAAAGTACAGAATTATGTGTGTTCACTTTATTCATTGTTGTTTCGGTGCTTCATCCTACATAAACTTTGGTTCAGCAACATATGACTCCGCATATATGACCAAAGAAAACCCAAACCCTGCATCCATCGATACGCAGCCGTGTACAAAGGGGGCTCGTGGAAGCTCATCATAATCTTCATTGCATCCAGAAAGCCATCACGCCTTCTCCCTCAACTTAAACATCAGCGGCGTATCCATATTCACCTGACTCTCCGTAGCAAACCACGTACACGGCGGCCGCGTCACGCCCGCCGGGTATCCGATATCATACCGCAACAGCAGCTCCGCCAAAAAGATCTTGAGCTCGTTGGCAACCAGGAACCTACCGGGACAGGACCACTGCCCGTGCCCGAACGATGGAAATTCGTTGCGCGTTGACGTGAACTGCCACTGGTTCTCCTGGCCTGGCTCCTGTCTCTTGCGCGCGAAGCGGAAGCCGTCAAAGACATCCGGATCCGCGAATTGCGAGGCGTCGCGGAGCCCTTCGAGCGAGACGGCGAGGAGCGAGCCCTTGGGTAGGCGGGTGCCGTCCGAGAGAATGGTTGTTTGTTTGACGTAGCGGTTCATCGCGGCTACGTGGGATCATGTGTCAGTTAATCGAGTGTTTTGTCTGGCGAATCTACCGAGCTGCTTTTTGGGGGAGTTCGTACTCAGCTGAACAGGGTTCATGCGTTGCGTCTCCTTCAAGAAACTGTCCATCAACCTCATCTTATACAACGTCGTCTTCTTCCAGCCCCCGTCCTCGGCGAGAACCTTGTCAATCTCCTCCCTCATCGGACCGATGCACTCAGGGTGAGCCGCTAGGTCATACAGAACATTACACAGCAAATCGACAGTCGTATGCGTGGACGCAAACGCAAGCGAAATCATGGCGCTCACGGCATCAAAGTCCTCTTCCTTACCACGCTTAGACGAGTTTTTGTAATACCACTCCAGCGCGTCATTGAACTTGACATCAGCGCCGGCATCACGCAGCCGCCGGCGCTCCTCAATCTCAGGGAGGATAAGCGTCCTCGCGACCTCGCCGTACTTTTTGAGGGCAATGATCTGGGGCAGGAAGCGGTAGAGAACGGGGCGGAGAAATTTGGGCGTGGAGAGCAGCCCGCCGATGGCGCCGAAGATGCCTTGCGGGTATTGCGTGCAGATGTAGAGCCACTCCTTGTTTTTTGTGAATCTCTTGCCCAGGAAGACGAGAGTTGAGAGGCGCACGCCCATTTCTGCGGCGTCTTTGCCAAAGGTGTATGAGGTCCATTCTGATGATGGGTTTAGCCACAGCCAAGGAATAGCGGAAAACGGATCGAGCTTACCGGTTGTCTGTGGGAAAAACTCGCTGAGGATTTCGCGTGCTTCTTCCGCTAAGAGGGGTGTGGCCTCGCCTAAGATTTGGATAAAGCGCAACAAATTAATGACTAGTAAGAGAGGAAAGATGGCATCATCATGGAAAATACCCACTGAGATATTGTGTCATGTTAATTCTCAGAGATTCCTGGAAGATACGGTCCTCATTGATCTTGTGCGCCCAGTCTAGGCCTGGGTATTGCCCAAATAGCCTCTACGTTCATTGGTTAGATCCCGAAAAACATTATACATGTCATGCATGTGAATCCAACGAGAATCAAAACAGCGTAAGAAACTCAAGACATACTCTTTCGGCAGACTTTCCGAAGTCCAGGTTCGGGTGGTCCTTGATAAGAGGGACATATCTCGGGGGCAAGACGGTGATGGGCACGTAGCCAATGACCTGGAAAGGTCCATTGTACTACATGAACGCGACGCTGTTAGCCATAAAAATTCCCCTTCCAAGGACTTAAGTATGAAATGAACCATTCCTCACCTTCTGAAGACCCTCTTTGATGAGATTCTTACAGTCCGTCACGAAACGATATTGTGCCTTGATATTGAGAATGTCCCACTTTGGACCCCCGACATAGGGAATACCTCGGAACGGCTGAGTGCTGTAGTTGAAGTAGAAGAAGACAACCAGAGACAATACAGCGACGGTAACGGTCACGTAATTGTTGCCGCGGGCTTGCGCAAGCAGGTCTAATGCGATCTCCATCATGGGCAATCGGACTTCGGTACAACGTGATTCGAGAGTAAAACACCTTTCTGGCCTGCATTACGTCTATCCGTCCAAAAGGCTAACAGAGCCCGCTTAAAAGCTTACAACAAGAAAATGAAACTCAAGACATTGTTTCCAATGTCTTGGCGTCTTGATGGATTAGGCCGAGTTACAAATCGAACCAAAGCAGCCGATGTCACATTGTGGTCAGCATGTGTCGGGTCTTTTATCATTGGCTTTGGATACGACATGCATGTACGCTCGCCAGATAGGTACATGCGAGATTTGATACCGGTAAGACGCAAATCACATGAGTTTAGCCGTCGGCTTCGGATGAATTGTACAAATGCAGTGTCTCACCTTTGAAATACTCCAAAAGGGGACGGGAACCTGATGACATGATTGGAAGGATCATGCACGCCGCGGGAGTGGCGCCGGTGCCGTACCTTGTTCGAAAGAAGGGTTCAAAAGGGGAACAGTCCGTATAAAAACCCGAGACCAATGTTCAAGGGGCGGCAACAAGCCGGCCAGTGCCGTTTCTGCCGTTGGTGTGCTTATGCTTACAGCCTGCGTAATTGTGATCCCTTATCGACGGTAGACAATGATCCTTTCCAAGACATGGGCGAGCCTTTTCGCGCCACTTCAACACACGCCGACAGGCCAAATTCAACTTGTGTTGGGGGTGCTGGTATTTCTGGTGGGTGGATGAGTACCAAAGTTCTTTTGTTTTATCGGTGGTGTGGCACAATTGCATCTATGGTGGTGTGGCCTTGCTGACACCCTCGCTCACGTAGATCGTCATACACCGGGTTGTTGTGACCATCTACCGGCTATGGTTCCATCCTCTTTCCAGATATCCAGGCCCCAAGTGGTGGGGAGCGTCGGATCTCTTCTGGCTGTGGCGGACCAACGTCAGGGGCACCTACACTCGTGAGGCTCCGGGTCTTCAACGGAAGTTCGGCAACATTGTGCGCCTCGGGCCGGACCGCCTGATGGTGGACGGCAGCATCGCCTGGACGCAGGTCTTCTCACTCAACGCCACGGTACACGGCATGGATGAGTTCGCCAAAGTGCCAAACCAGCTGTTTCCAGGCGACTACAAGACAATTGTTGCCGCGCCGCGGGACGAGCATCGCCGTATGCGACGCCAGCTGAACCACGCTTTCAGTGACGCTGCGCTCAAGGAGCAGGAGGGCATCATCGGTCGTTACGTCGAGAAGCTAGTCGATCACCTAGAGCGAGCGTCGGGTGCCGTGGACATTGTGACCTGGCTCAACTACACCACGTTTGATGTCATTGGAGATCTGACCTTCGCCGAGTCATTCCACAACCTCGATGACAGCAGCTTTCACCCGTATGTTTCGGGCTTCTTCAGGGCCATCCGTGGCTTTGCGTATAGCCGAATGATCCTGGCGAAGCCGCACCTCACACCGTTCTTCCTGATATTTGTGGGCTGGCGTGAGATCTGGACCGCCATCTCGACCATGATGGAGAACATGAAGCTGGGCGACTCGAAGGTGAAAGCGCGAATGGCTATGGGCGCCGAGCCCAAAGACGGCCGGCGCGATTTCATGACGTACATGATGCGGGAGACGCGCGATGGAAAGCCGGGCTTCTCGGAGCAGGAAATCATGATGAACAGCGGGTTGCTGATCGGTGCCGGCAGCGAGACGACAGCGTCGGCTGTGAGCGGCTTTTTCTTCTTTGCCGGCATGTCACCAGCGGCACTGGAACCGTTGATCGAAGAGATTCGGTCTGCGTACAAGTCCGAATCGGACATCAACCTAGTCAACACGCAGCATCTACCATACCTAAGGGCAAGTATAGATGAGACACTGCGTTGTTTCCCCACTGTCGTCGAGACGCCACCTCGTCAGTCTCCTGGAGCCATGTTTGAAGACAAATGGGTCCCTCGCGGTGTGAGTTCCTCCTAATCGCTTTATACCATTGCCTCTGCACCAATCATGAGACTGACATGAATCATCGCTAGACGCTCCTCCACGTGAACCAAGTGGCGACCATGCGAAACAAGGGTAACTTCATTGACGCAGAGAGCTGGTGTCCGCAGCGCTGGCTCCCCAAGGCGCATCCTCTGTACGATCCGAGGTTTGAATACGACAACAAGGCTGCTTTCAAGCCCTTTAGTTACGGGCCTCGAGACTGCGCCGGCAAGAACCTGGCGTACTCAGAGATGCGGCTGATGATCTGCAGAATCCTATACCGGTTGGACTTTGAGTTGGTCGAGGGCCAGGAGCAATGGTACACCGATAAGCACGTATGGAGCGTTTGGGAGAAACAGCCTCTAAACTTGAGATTCCGGCCTAGATTACAACACTGAGAGTGTTGAAGGAGCACTTGGCGACTGACTAGAAGATGGATCAAGGAAAGAGGCGTATATATCTACCGAGATCTAAATTTAGATAGGACAGAGCAATTACTCTGCTCAGTCATGTAGCTGACTGGGAAGTGCTGTGTAATGTACACTCGCTCATGGCATTTCTTGCTGGAGCTGGAGACGGCCTATCTAATGACTTTGACAAAAGTCAGGCACACGGGTTTCCGAGACATAGACGTATCCAATCTAAGGTGAATAAGTCCCAAAGGCACCTGACGGCAGCTACAGCCGTTCCTCAACCTCAGCGTTCTATGGTGTCCTGTTCCCATTGCAAGCGACCCAAAAGTCTCAAAAGCCTGTCAATGATACGCTGGAGGCCTCCCCCATCGTTGATGAAGGACTGGTCGCTGTCGCTGAGAGCCTGGGTAGATTGGAAGTCCTGGAGCAGACTGTGGTGGGTCACTAGACTCTTGTAAATAATTTGAGAGGCGAGAATATTTGCCTCATCGTCCTGTAGAAGAAAGCCTCCGAGGGTCATCTGCGTCCGGGTACAGGTGACAGTAGTAGCGGGTAGCTTGAGTGAAAACAGATGGGCGCTGCCGAGGCCTGCCGTGCCGTTCGTCAGTTTGCTATACAGGCCGAGGCCGAGGATTTGGGGCGACGGAGACAAGAGTATAGATAGATCATAATAGCAACGCCGAGACTATAGATGTTGAACTTACGATCCGGCGATGTCTGTGAGAAGTAGTCGATGTCTGTGTAGGCGTATGTAGTGGCCTCGAAGAGAGATAGGAGCTTCTCGGAGGCTGTAGTCAAGGCACAGGTGACGTTGGCATTGTTGGTATTGTCATTGTTGCAATGGCGACAGCGTGTGGCCTGGCGCCATTGTTCGACAACGGAGTGATGAAGCTGCATGACGGCGTCGAACGAGACGATACCCTCCTTTGGGATTTTCTTGAGCAGTCTGGATGCTTTTCGGGCACAACTACACTTGGACGTCGACGCTGATGCCGACGTAGAGGGGATTGCTTGTGCTTGGTTTTGTTCGTACTCATGCCAGTCGCTAGACTCGTACGACGATGATATTGACGCGTGAGATTGCGGCCCAGGGGACCCCTGATGGTTTGGAGCAAGAAGTCAGCAAGAAAGTCTGTAAAACCTCTCCCAGATAAAAGATGATAGATTGGTGCTTTGGTCACCTCGGAACTGTAGTCGAAGATGCTGCTGTGTGCCATCGGGACGGTATGTCATATGACCATGAGGGAGTCGAATTGAGTAACACTCATGGAAGAGGAAGACGAATGGAAGACGGTGACTCGGCCAATTGGCATACCCAAAGAACCGGTAGGTAATATCAAGAAAACACCCAGATAAATGCTTGCGAAGTGGCTAAGTTCGGACAGAGGGTGTTATCAAGTGAGCGTATCGAGCACGTACATGGCAGCGCAGCCTCGATGGAACCATTGTGATTCAGACCTTCCATCACAAAGGTGACAAAAGTCTCCAAAGGACCCCATCCTGGCAAGCACGCAAGACAGCGGATAAGGTAGGCGCAACCAGGGTGGCCTCGGGATGGATGCAGGCAGTAGCCCGCCGTTGAGCTAAGGTAGCGCACCGTTCCTCCCTCAGGCTAAGTGGGTATCTGATTGGCCGCTTCGCGAATGGACTTCCACTACCGTCCACACTCATCACTAAGGTACTCCGTACCATTGCGCGGTACAGCGGTACCTAGCCAGCGGCACACCTTACCTAAGCACGTGCCTAGGTACCGCATTAACCCCACTTGCTTCCCGTTCCCGGGGGGTTTCCTGGGGTACGTAGAGAAAGGTACCTCCACCAGCATGAATGAAGATGCAAGCACGTGGTAAGGTAGGTATCTACAACAAAGTGGCTACCTGCTTTGGAGTCCCCGACGGCATCCAGGCCCAAACGGGTAAACGAGAGGCTTGTCCTTCCTGCTTTTCACCGCGGAGACGGAGTTTGGACATTGACCTTTCCATCCAAGGTGCACCTCCTGATGCGTGTGACATAGGATGAGTGCCTACCGGTATTGGTATGTGGTGGCAACGAGATCCTCATGTATGGTTGGAAGGTATTGACCCGAGCCCACTTTGCTGTGCCTTCCTCTCCTCCACCCCGTCCTTTGCTCCAAAATGATGCCACTTTTGGTAAGATAGAACCTCATTGAAACCTTCCTACAGTGGACCATAAATCAGGGGAGGTGCGGATCGAGAAGGGGCACGAAAGAAAAACACAGAAGCAAAGAAAAAAGATTGTACGCATGATATCAAGTACTTGAGAACCTGTCCAAGGTAAGGTGTGCAGGATATCAGCTAGAATGGCGTCCGATTGAGATGCTGGGATTGGGCAATGGGCAATGATAGCAAGCCCCGTCCCAAATTGGTCGTTGACCATACCGGCACTCTTCATTTGACAGCTTGACGATTGCCATTGACGGCTTACAGATGGCGGAGGAATGGGTACAACCCCAAATTCACAAAAGTCTCAAACGAGTCTGGAATGACTTAGGTAAGGGTGGGACAATTATTCCCGACTGGGGGGGGTGTGAAGTGTGATGAAGTATGGTGTTTCCGAATGATCCAATGACAAGAATGCGTTTGCGCCGCACCCTCATCACTCGACTGCAGGGCACGCTGTACCGCCCATTTGAGAGCCGGCGTAATTTTGCACCGGTCTGGTCCACATTACAAATCTGGGCAAGTCGGCAAGCAAACAATCCGATTCACTCTTCACCCTATCGCGAGGTACGTACCGTTTGGGATATTCAGCAATTTCACCATGGCCAGATGGTGCAAGTCACGGGCACGTCGAAGTGTCTTTTTTTTCTCCTTCAAAAAACCAAGAAAATCACCTCTCATCTCCCTTTCTAGTGGTTTCGTATTCAGAAAGCATCCGTTGCACAAATCATTCGATGCTCTGCGAGGAGGCAAGCAGACAATACTGGAGCTATCTCTGTTAGTCGCCCTTGAATAAAAAGCCATCATTACCACCATCACAGCAGACAAGATCACACCAATTGCCGGAGGAACAGCAACAAACCACCGTCACAATGGCCACCGCGACTCCAGAGGACCAGCCACGCTCACAACCTAGCGTCGAGCTGACGCGCTCTTACGAGAACAAGACCGAAGCAACCCTCGGCCACAGTCACGATGCAGCCCCTGGGCCCACAGCACCAGTCGATAGCGAGAAAGGAACTGGGAGCGCCGACGGCGATGACGATAAAGCAGAAGAGGGCGACTACGCCACCGGCTTGAAGCTTTTCATTCTGATGACTTCCCTCTTACTATGCCAATTTCTTGTCGCCTTAGACATGGTCAGTCTTCTGCTTGCTTCCCCCCCCCCCCCCCTATTGCTCTCTTATGTCACCTTTGCAACTATCTTACCTTACTAACACCGTATGCCAACAGAGTATTATCGCCACTGCCATTCCCAAAATCACTCGCGAATTCCAAAGTCTTGATCAGGTCGGATGGTATGGCTCCGGTTTCCTCCTTACCCTCGCCGGCTTCGTTTCTCTCTGGGGCAAGGCCTTCAAGCATGCCAGCATCAAATGGGTCTTCTTGTCCGCCGTGGTCGTCTTTGAGCTTGGGAGCTTGATCTGTGGTGAGTGGACTAGCATACCAAATTTCCAATGGTCGGTTCCTTGTTCAGTGGCTGATTTGGCCTTTATATTACAGGTGTGGCTCAGAATAGCACTACCCTCATCGTCGGTCGCGCCATCCAAGGCTTTGGAGGTGCTGGCATGACCAGCGGAGTCTACCTCATTGTATCCGTCTCTGTCGTCCAGAAGCTTGTCCCTGCATTTTTGGGCCTTCTTAGCGGTATCTTCAGTGTTGCTAGTGTCGTCGGCCCCCTTCTTGGTGGTGCATTCACGGACCGTCTTACTTGGCGTTGGTGGTGAGTGTCTGCAGCATTGCAGCTCCATATTACCGTGAAGTTACGGCGCACCGGGACTGACCTGGCGTTTCCTCAGCTTTTACATCAACCTCATCGTCGGCGCGCCCTCTATTCTCTTCCTGGCTTTCTTCTACAAGCCACCTGCTCACCACAAAATCGAGCCCATTGGCTGGAAGGACTTCATCTATACTTTAGACCTGCCGGGCGTCGCTGTCGTTCTCGGCGGGCTGACGTGCTTCATTCTCGCCATTGAATACGGTGGTGTCACCAAGGCCTGGAACTCGGGTACAGTTATCGGTCTGCTGGTCGCCTTCGGTGTCCTCGTCATAGTCTTCATTGTTCTCGAATGGTACCAGGGTGACCGTGCCCTGCTTGTTGGCCGTCTCATGAAGCGGAGGACTATCGCGGCCTGCGCGGTCTTCGTTTCCATGTAAGGCTCCTCTCTCTCGGGTAGAATTTGGTTAACCTATTCTCTGGATCAACTTCTCCTTCTTCCCCTTGGCCTACAATCTTCCAATCTACTTCCAGGCCGTCAACGGAGTCTCCCCCTTGCAGAGTGGTATCCGATTACTGCCAACTATTCTACCGATGAGTAAGTTCAAGTGATCACCATCGTTGATGACAAGAAGCTGACCGCATCGTCTTCAACAGCGCTGTTCAGTCTCTTCTCCGCCCCAGGTATCGTGCTAGTCGGATGGTACCAGCCGTGGCTAATGACCGGCGCATCGCTCGCCGCCATTGGAGCCGGCCTCATTTACATGCTAGACATCGACTCCACCAGCGCGCAATGGATCGGCTTCCAGTTTGTGGCCGGCGTCGGTACGGGTCTGGCAATGCAGCCGCCCGTCATCATCGCCAACGCCATCACCCCGAAGCAAGACAACAGCATGGCCATGTCGGACGTGCTCTTCTTCCAGTTCATTGGAGGCACCTTTGGCATCGGCATGGCGCAAGCCATCTTCAACAACGGCCTCATCAGCAGCTTGCCCGAGCTGGCACCGATGGTTTCTCCGGCCGAGGTCCTCAGCATTGGCGCGTACGACTTGAAGAATGTCTTGTCGGGTGATGCACTGACTGGCGTGCTGAGGGCGTACATGCGCGGTCTGCACAATGCTTGGGCCATGAGCATCGCTGGCGCCGCCGTCGCCGTGTTTTTACCCCTGCTGGGAGCCTACATGAAGCTCCCCAAGACGCCCCCCAAGAGCTGGGATGAGAAGCCGACGACCGATAAGGCCGACGCGCGATCTTGATTTCTGGTTGGTGTCTGGATTTTTCAAGTCCAGAGACGGGCCCCTGGCAGCAGAAATGCCCCCCTCAAGGACGAAGACTTACACACATGGGAAGCTAACAGCGGGAGACTGGGAATCTTTGTGTGAAGATATGATCTCCTTGAAGAACCTTTTTCCTTCGTGGTTCCGATAGAAATTTGAAGACAGAATTGGCGTGATGGATCGGAACAGGATTCAGGATTGCGGTGTAATACATTCACTGTCATAGATCCCGTGAAAAAATAGACACATTTCTTGTACGCTGTACGCAACTCCGAATTTTTTTGGTTGACCTCTGCTGCAACTCAAGCTCAAGCATCCATATCGGCCTAGTGAATCTTGTGAAAAACGTACTGCTTGCCTACGTCGAATTTGAGTTGTGGTGGGCCTGAAGAAGTTATCCACACGATCGTCCGTCCGAACTACCCGTACATGGACGCAAGGTCAAAGTTACCCGCCACACGTGGCTAGCGCATGGGTGGCTGGATTACGGGAGGCAAAGCTGTGATCGTAATCATTGATGATGGAACGGTGAAAGCTACAATCTGACAAAGCCTCACATAAGGCACTCGGGAGGTGGCAGATTCAGCCGTTAGTTTGCTCTGACATGTGAGAATGGTTATGTCCAGCGAATGGAATTGAGCGTGGTCCATTCCGTTGGTTGACGGCTTCTGTCGGTCCGTTCCGTTCCCGTGGCTGTAGGTACGTACCTAGTATATCGGCGACAGAATTATCTTCCACTCAACTAATATGCTCGTCTGTATCACTATTACTATAATCATTATTATCACCATTTGATGATATCTCTTCTCGCCTTTAATTTCTTCATATTCCATGGGTAACATACCTTGAACAGCCTAGGTAAGGATTATGTAGAAAATGAAGGTAACAAGAACGGTAAGAAATTCACCAGGGTAGGATTCAACTGAACGCATTGAGCATTGGCAGGCCTACTATTTCGTCACCGATGGCCGCCTACCTACTCGAGATAATGTGCCATACGACCCGCGATATTTCCAGATATTTTAAACTCCTTCCAGAGTCGAATGTGCGACGCGACATAGTGCCTGTGTATTACTTCGGAACTTCCGTTTAGGTTTGGTCCATACCTACCACACCCGGTGCCGGGTGGAGACCGTCAGCGAACGGGTGGCCGCCGCCCGCAGTCATGCCGGGTTCCGACAAGGAAAGTACGACCAGAAAGGGACCTTGCCTTAGCGCCCCCTTAGCAGCCGTGAGGATATGATTTGGATAGACACGCCCCACCCCCCTCCCTTTCAGCCCTCCTCCGTATCTCTCATTCATCGACCATATTTTCTCGCATGGAAGCCAAGCAGGCAGAAACCCAGGATGGATGAGGTGCGGTTGCTTACGAACTAATTGCTCATTTGAGGATGATCTCTCTTGCAGACTGCAGCGACCAATTCCTTCGAACAAAAAGACCGAGAAACAAAATAACCGATTCGTCAGTTTTCCGCTCCATTCAGAACCACTTCACGACCCAAGATAATACCGCCACCGCCTCTCGCAGTATCAGCAGCCCAAAATGGTCCGCTTGCAATCGCAATGTAGCAGTCGAGACGATGAGAATCCTCTGTCTTCATGGCTACGGCACGTCCGGAGCCATCCTTCGATCGCAGCTCGACGCCTTCATCCACAGGGCCGACGCGAGCTACGAGTTTGTCTTCCTCGATGGCGAATACGAATGCCAAAGAGCCCACGGTCAGTCACTTCGTCTGTTCTACATGTGACTCTATGCAATGCTGATGTAATCTTAGGTATTGGCAAGTTCGCACAGCCTCCTTTTCGATGCTTCAATCAATCCTTTGGCCCCCATGCCATCCAGTCGTCCCTTGACCACCTCCAAGACTTCATTGACGACGAGGGTCCCTTTGATGGTCTCTTGGGCTTCAGTCAGGGCGGCTCCTTGGCCCTCGCCTACCTGATTCAGATGGCCGAAACCATGGCGGCCAACCCAGGAACCCCGCCCGCCTTCTCCTTCGCAGTCTTCCTCTCTACCATCGTCGCCTTCTCCCCGGACCCGAATTTCTGCTCTCACCTCATCAATGGCCTAGCCCCTAGCGACCGCGAAAACGTCCTCGCAGGCTTTCCCCGCGGCGCCACCCACAATGACTACGCCGCTCTCACCGGGGCCCCTGAGCGCGCTATTTTCTTTAGCTCCCTCGGGAAGGTCCTAGAGACATCCATCGTCGGCGGCTTCATCGCACCGGACACGCCTCTTGGCCTCGAAGCGCTGCTACATTCCGAGTCGGTAGCCACGAACAATGACATCGACCATCTCCCGCGCATCATGCATCCCGTCATCGCCTCGCCAGCCTGCAGGGTCCCTGTACCAACCGTCCATGTCGTCGGCGCCTTTGATGACCCGCTACTGGTCAGCATGTCGAAGCTGATGGAGGGGCTCTGTGAGGCAACGCTGACGCGATCGCTGGTGCACGATGGTGGCCACGATGTGCCGAGGAAACCGAGAGATGTGCAGGCGTTATGGTCCGCCGTCGAGTGGGCTACACGAGAGGCGGCAAAACAGGTGTGGTAATCTGGGTAGTGACAACGGGAGTGCTGATGATTCTGGATCTCAGGTACGTCGGGCAGTTGATTTCGGGTGGTTTTACTTTTGTCAAGTTGTCCTTGTGGTGTGGGGCTGACGACATGGAACCCCGAAGACTCGACTGGCGAATTGATACTCCGATACTCGGTAGAAAATACCTCGATTTGCATTCGAGTTTTCACTAGATAGATGAAAATACAACCATAAACAGAGTTTTCTCCCATTTCTGATCTCTATTCTGACCCTGGCTTTCTCTTACACAATCTCTCAGCACCAAGATGGAAAAAACTGCCAGGACGACCCTGAGCACTGCTCGTTATTCGGACAACTGGTCATCCAAGGGCGGGTGGTATCTCGTGTGCGCCTACTGCGCCTGGGAGACGATCGCTCTGACGCTGTCGACGCTCTACTCCTTCGCGCAGCCAGTCGTGCAGGAGACGTATGGCGTGGGTAACGTCCAGATCGTCACACTAGGCCAGTCCATGCAGATCATGGGAAATATGCTTGGTGTATCGCTGCTGAGCCCCCTCTCGTACGGCTCGAAAAACAGGTCCCCTTGATCAAGTCTTCCACCTTGCTAACCTGACGGGACGGTAGGGATGTCTTTGGTCGCAAGACCGTTACGATATTCTCCATGCTGGCTTACTCCGTCCTCAACCTAGTCAGTACATACCTATACACGCCCGCTGTTGAACCGTGTCATAGACGGAGGGGGACCGTCCATATTCGGGACTAATCAGTAGAGTACAGGGTACAGCATACGCACCCAACCTACCCACCCTCATTCTCTTCATGTTCCTGAGCGGCGCCGCCTGGTCAACCTCCCTCTCTCTCGTCCCCGCCGTCTTCAGCGACCTGTACCTAGACAGAGACGACATTGGCCAGCCCATTGCACTCTTTGTCATTGGTGCCAGCGTCGGGCCCACCCTCGGCGGTGTCGTTGCCACGGCTCTCATGGACGCTGGGGCTGATCTCAAATGGTACTTTTTGATCACTGTCTTTGTTAGTGCCGTGTGCGCTATTCCCATGTCGTTTGTGCCCGAATCTCTCAATGCGGCCCGGGCCGGTGATGGAAGCAAGGTCACCGGTCCGGTTCCGCAGACTAATCTTGACGCCAGTCCAACCCCGCGCGGGAGTTGGTATTTCCTGACGAGAGTTTGGTACCTACTTGCCACAGAGCCCATCATCTGGATCACGGGTATCTACAACGGCCTTGCCAACGGTGTCTTTGTTCTAACTGTTGGGGGCTCCATCACGACCCTGACGGAGTTCAAGGGTCTTCCGTAAGCAACACCTCTCTACTTGGTTTCTTTCTTTTCTCCGCGTCATCTGCAGACTTGTCCAGCACACACTGAATGACTGACTCGCGGCAAAGTCTGATGGAAGCCGCCATCTCCATCATCTTCATGGCCATCGGCGTGGTACTCGTATGGTTCGTCATGCCTACACAGACCCGCCTCTACAGGGAAGACAAAAAACGACACCACGGCCGCGCCCTCCCGGAGTCAAGACTCCTGCTCGTCCATGACGTGATCTGGATGTTCCCCGCCGCCTTAGCCTGGTCCGCTTTTACAGGCGGCGCCGCGTGGGGTAAATGGCACCAGGCCGTGACGGGCGGCGTCGTTGCGTTTACAGACTCGTTTCTGTACCAGTGTCTCTTGATCTACATTCTGGGTAAGTTGCGAAGCATCACGTCACACATCCCGTACTTTTTACGAGATGCCGAATGCTGATGCGAGAGTCTGAAACAGACCTGTACCCCGAAGAAGCCGCGTCCGCTACGGCGGCCTGGCTGATACCCTGTTTTCCTGTACAGGCTGCGGCTGTGCACTTTGGTGTCCCCATGTTCCAGAAGCTCGGCCCGGAGTGGGCTTTCGGTCTGCTGGCTGTCTTTACGGCTGGGTTTGTGGTACCTGGGTTTTACGCGATCAAGAGGTACGGACCAGCGATGCGGGGGAGGTCCCCTGCGACTAAGAAGGGCTTTCGGCTTTGAGTTCTTGGCTGGTCCTCATGTCTTGTATTGAATATCATAACTTGCCGCCTGTCCGCGTCGAATAATGGCCAAGGTAGGCGATGGCTGGAGATGGTAACCACTGCCTTTGAGTATTCGCGACGAGGTACTCACTTTGTACTCTGGAGGTTTTGCTGGGGCATATAGTTTATTGTTTGTCTTAATGGCTGAATGCCGAAGCACAAGGGTTCATGAACTAGAAGCTATCATCACGCTGTGGACACGAAGTGCTGCGGGGGAGTATGGCAATGACATAAACATATAGAATCGACAATCGAGTGATGGTATGGGATCCCGACCTCACCCTTCTGTAAGCTACTTTGTTCAACTATGAATATTCTGACATTGAATACGATGATAACTTCACCCCGAACTCATGCGTGCCCGTGCAAAAGTTTTCCGACATAACCTAATCGGGCAATAATGTGGTGTCTTGACCAATCAGATGGCTTCAACGGAAAGGCGCACAGCTTCGCAAACGGAATAGATCTCGATTCAACCCCACAGTCTGCGCCCGACGAAAAGCTTGCACTCGACCATGTAAACATCCTCAAGCAAAAGCAAAGAATGAGTTGACCGTCTGCATGGAGCACCAGAGCCGAAACTTGCAGCCAGCAATCTGACTGTATCATAAGAAATGTGAGACACCCCCAAGATAATCACCCGAAGTCGATGCAACAAAGTCCCCGAGCTGAAAATTCGAACACAAAATTAAAAACGTCCATGCCTGTCAGACGTCAGCAGCCCACTCTCCATGTGTCATTGAATTGACGTACGCTTTACACTCAAGGCAATCCCACAAATGTCCGCCACCACAGAAATCAAGAGATGGGGCAAGGCGGACTTGGATGCATTCCTCGGTAGCCTGCCCACGGAGGTAGACACGTCGACGCAGTACCCCGGCTCGTGCCTCTGCGGCGGAGTTCGATTCTACCTCGCGGGCGAGCCCCTCAAGAAGGTGTTTTGCTACTGCGATCATTGCCGCAAGAATTCGGGCGGGACTGGCCAGCAGGTGCGGATTCAACCTCGCCTCCCCATTCCCTTGGCGGGTATCTAACACACCGTCTTCTGGTCGCAGTACATCATATACCAGGCGGAGAATATGACGATTGACGATCCCAAGGGCTACAAGACCGTCTACACTATCCCGGGAGATACGGTAACGCTGTTCCCTAAGGAAAAGTACTTTTGCAGCCAGTGCGCATGCACCCTCATTGTGATGCCCCTCATGTTGGAGCGGAAGCTCGCCTTCGTTCCGACGGGTCTAATGAATCATGGGTAATTAAACTTTTCACAACATTGTACCTTTCTTTGGTTTTAGGCACCGAGAGCTTTGTACTAACTGGTTAATGGAACAGCCTGGACTACTTCAAGCCTGACTTTGAGTATTTTGCGGATAAGCGTCCGGCCTTTTTGGCTCCGATTCCTGGTGCCGGATCCTATAAGGTGCAGGCGGGAGAGCATGTACCTTTGGATGATACGTCGGTGCAGTCGTCCAAGTAGGGTTATTCTGGTGGCACCATAGTGGCAGGGAAAACGGTGTACTATATCGGACTTCTTGACCTGCCATTCCTATCAATCTGATGGCATTTCAAGGTTTCGGCATTCCTGTGCGGCCAAGCCCATGTTACACGATCATCTGGACTAGTGATAACGAGTAGTGTCAGCATCCCACAGTACACACACCTTGATAAAAGTATTGGTAAATTTGGAGCAAGTGCTCCAGCATAAAGAATTATAACTCGAGTAACATGAAGCAAAGGCGATAACATATAGTCGAGATTGGTCAAGACACACAGCAAGCAGTCGGCGGAGATCTGGGTTTCTTGATTCACAACAATAAACCTGACTCCAAGTGCAGCGACATTTGACAGCGCGTACTTTATTACAATTGAACCATATACAATTCATTCTACGCACTGGTCCCGATCACCATAACCCTGACGCCTTGCGTCCCCTCCTTTGGTATGGGCACGAAATAATCAGCCGCCATGTCAACAGCATCCCTGCCAGTGTCGTAGAGCTCAATATCCAGCCTCCGAAACACCGTTGCCAGCCCGATATATAGCTCCGCCATGGCGAAGTTCATCCCTAGGCACATGCGCGGGCCCTTGCCGAAGGGCACCAGATACCGCGACAATGGCTTACCGGACGCCGTCTTTTGGTTCTCCAACCACCTCTCGGGGCGAAAGACATCGGGTTCAGGATATATTTTGGGATCGCGGTGTTGTATATATGATGTCATGCTGAAAGGTACGTTGGGTGGGATCACGTACGATCCGTAGGTGATGGGGCCGTCGGGGCTGATGCGGGAGAGGCGCTGTGTGATGCCGAAGGCCAGTCGCAAAGCTATGGAAACACAAAGACTCAGATTTCAATCTCTTTATTGAGGCCCATCAAGAAGTGGTGCCAAGACTTCCAAGAAATTGGAAGATACTCACATTCCTGAACGACTGCATTGAGAAAAGGAAGACTCTCCAGTTCGTGGAGGGGCGGCATAGGCTCATTGGCGCGTGGAATTCGAGTCTTCAACTCTTCGCGCAGTCTCTTGAAGACGCTAGGATTGTCCAGTATATGAAATGTAGCGAGGGCCAATGTGGTCTTGGTCGTGTCAATGCCCGCGCCTGTGATACTGGCCGCCTCATGCTTAAGGCGCTCGACGGACAGCTCCTCCGGCGGCAGATTCGACTGCAGGAGTTCGTGGAACACGGTACGATGTTGGACACCTTTATTCGAGGTGTTCTGCCCTGAAATGACCTTGATGATTTGGTCTTTGACTTCCTAGTGATGGGAGCCCACTGGTCAGAGAAACTGATTTATACTGCATCCCAATGACACTGTACTCACATTGTGAAACCGGAAGACGGGGACCATCAACGGGTTCAGAATCTAGGTGACCGACTCTGGGAGCGTTTGAAGCATCGTCAAAAGCCAGGGAAAATGGCCTGCCATATGGAGAGACATGGCCAGCTTCCTGATTGAGGTCGTGAATGGCGTGACAAAATCAGGGTAGTCTATGAAATTGTACGAGATGGCAAATGTGTAATAATTAATTGCATCCGACACGAATGCCGCGTACGCCTCATTCATATTGACGGGCTTTACTTTCTCGCTATACCCGGTCGCCAATCGGTCGACCATCTTGTCGGCCATGGACTGCATCTGCGAGCTGAACCCCGCAACCTTTTGCTTCGCAAAGAAAGGCGAGATAGCGGAGCGGCGAAGGTGGTGATGGGCATGGTCGATGGTGTCAAAAGAGGACAGGTGTAGCCCGAACCGATATCGGAGCTTCTCGATCTTGCTGTACCGGGTTTTATTGTTGAAGAGGACCTCGTAAAAGTCTGGGTCGGCGATGTGAACTTCCCAAGGTGTGATTCGGACAATTGGACCTGCCCGGGGAGTCAGTATCTCGACTTTCAATCTCCACTACGCCGCGAACAAGGCGTATTACCGTATTGACGATGCCATTCTTCGATCTGAAAGGTGAACTGCCCTCCCTTAAACACATCCAAGTACGTCTCATACCAACCAGTTGCTGCCGTCAGCTTAGACCCCGGGATATGCGCAATCGGGCTGAAATAGAGCCGGTATGTGATAAGGCCAGTTACGTAGATCGAATAACCTAGGAGTAGGGCTAAAACAATGGCTTGGGGGCTGAGAATACGATTGGTATCGATGTCTTCGAGATCCATTGTGTAACGCCAGATGGGCATCCCCCTAAACTGGTCGATGTGGCAGTCCAGTCGAAGGAGCTTTGGTCAAAGACATTCAATATTTGGACACAATGAAGTGATATCAGGTGCAGTACGTATTGTTCTTCCGGTTGATATTGTTTATCTTGGTGGTAAGGGACCGGGGACTTTCCGCGAAGCTGACATGTCGGGCATTTCCGAGATGCAACACCGGGCCAGTCGGGGATGGGAATCCTCAGAAGTAAGCTGGGTACATCGGAAGCTTTCTCAATGTTCACTTCAATTTGCGATCGTATTGATTTCGAACAGCAAGAAAAGGGGACAAGGCGCCTTCAGTCGAAGATTCACCCAGAGCATACAGAGCTAACGCACCTTTCGACCAATTTCTCAACACCCCCAGTCCTATTTTCCTGCCCTCCACAGCCATCCAGTTAGAATGGCGGATATTCAGTGGTACCTTCATCCCTGGTCACTCTTGGTCTACCAGACCAGTCTGATCGTCTTCGCCGTGGGCTTCACGCGTCCGGGATCGTTGATTCGACTGGCCCTGTGGCCACTTGCTTTGTTTACAGTGTTTCGTTTTGTCGCCACAGCTCATGTCCTAAACAATGGCTTTCACATGAGCTTTGGTGCCTCAGACGCCTGGCTGACATTTCTTCAATACTGGGACGTCGTACTTCTTAGCAACTGGGACTTCGAGTACGGCGGCCCACAGCCCAAGGCCATGGAAAAGAGGGAGACGAAGCCATGGCGTGAGCGCGCGACTTTCTGGAACCGCTTAGGCTTCGGAATATACGCCGCCTCTTCGTACCGCTGTAGCGGAACTCCCTTTGAGGTGCCGAATCTTGGACCATTTGACAAGAAGGACCCCAAATACGTGCCGTCGAAGGCCAAGTACATCCGCAACGCTGCCATCAGGGTGGTGGTTGTCTATCTGATCCTGGACGCCATGACTTCGTTCAATGATCCGGCAGCCATGCGATCCGTCTTCGCTGACGAGAAGATTCCGCTTCTGCGGCGGCTGTCGCAGCTGACACTAGAGGAAGCTATCATGCGAACGTTTACCTCGTTTTCGTTCTGGCTCGTCAACTACCTGGTTCTTATCCTCTTTTTCGACATCCCGGGTATCATATGTGTCGCGACTGGCCTGTCTGGCGTCGAGTGGTGGCGACCGCCGTTCAACTCCATCTTCGAGGCCTTCACACTGCGCCGTTACTGGGGGTAAGTGGCTCATTCCCCCTCCAAAAGGGCACCAAGTCCATTTCTAGAGAAGTAGCACTAACGTTCGCCTTAGTGTCTTCTGGCACCAGTCCGTTCGAAAGCGCATCAACTCTCCAGCTAACTGGATTGCCAAAGACGTCCTTCGCCTGCCGCGAGGAACCCTTCTCGCACGCTACGCTGTTGTGATCCTCACCTTCACCATGTCCACCTTCCAGCATGCGACGGGTGACATAGCTTCGGCTATCCCAGTCTCTCGCACCGGGTCACCTTGGTTCTTCCTCGTACAGGCCCTCGGCTTCGTCCTCGAGGACGTCTTCCAGTACGTTTGGAAGCAGGTGGCGCCGGCTTCGGCCCGTGACACGTGGTACACCAAGGTGTTTGGTTACGTCTGGGTTTTTGCGTGGATGTTTTGGTGTACGCCATTCTATGCATATCCGGTTTCGGCAAACAATCGGGGAGATCAGGACGCGATTCTTCCTTTCAGCGTTCTGAAGGCTGTCCTGGGCAAATAGAAGGGGCCTTGATATCGAAAGTACACAATACTTCCATCAATAGCCTTGATACGCGGGCCGTGTGTCAAAGAAAGGTTGCGAAGATAAGCATTATCTTTAGGGCCCCTCAACCATAGGTTTTCTTGTTAGGAGCGTGGGAAGGATATCGGCAAGATATCCAGAGTTGGTGCCGATTTTCTAGAATGGTTTAGGATGCATTGGCCCGAATGCATTTATTGAATTTTGTCCATAGTCATGAATCGTAGAGACGAAGTTGTCATGTGTACTCAGAGAAAGCCCATTAATCGACTGATAAGTAATGCCGAGAGCAATAGGGGTAAGGTCTGTCTATGAGAAACAATCTAAGAAGATGATCAAGTATTTACAGTCGATGGGTTCGGGTTTTATAGCTTGATTGCCGACGCTCGTTGAGAAGATGTAGCGATGACGCCGTTTTTGCGACTTTGCAGATCTTTGCGATTATGGAAGGAGACTGGGTCAAAAAAGACTTCGATGTATGCATCTAGAAATACCTTGTCACAGATAATACGAGGCAAATCATGGTCGAAAGATCTCTCGACCTACCTCATGTCACAGGAAAGAACTCCTGGTAGTCTACAGATCCCATCCAATCCTCAAGGCAGCTGGATGGAAATTAAATAAGAGGCTCATTCGATTTCTCTTTTCTCTTTATGTTTTTGCTAAGCGACTGATGCCTCCTCTGAAAACTTACGCGTAAATTACAAAAAGTCTCTACAACCAGATCTAACATGGCCTGTGGGAGGCGTCATTGAGAAAGAGCAAAGCAATCAAAGTATCCCATCAGTTGGTAGATGACGTCAGTTCATTCGACTTTAGACTCTCTTTGATTCTCTTTATTTCGAAATTATGCATAGGTACTTTTATGAAACAATAGCAAGTCAGACCAAGTCAACACGTGGTCCGTCATCAATCCTTCTAAAAGCGCAATATAGACAATCATATTGAAGGTATGAAGGGGTTAATACCCATGTGAGGCTTTAGTACTCGATGCCGTAACGATGCATGTGGAAACGAGGAATACGGACAGGGAAAGTAATGCACCCAGAAATTAGCCCTTGACTTTAGTTCCATGTCAAAGAGATTCGATTAAGAGCTTCGAATCTGATGAATTTTGGACCAGACCTTTCTGCTGGTCGGGGGTTTCTTTGGTTTTCGCTCTTAGTGTCTCGGGGCATTTCATTGTCAAAAAAGCCGCCTGTAAGCACAACGCATATGCGCGCCGACACGTTTAGGATTGGTAAGCTTATCATACACGATATGGAAATGTTTAATTTGCCAAACAACGGTACCCAGGCACATAGTATTAATCTCTGCGATCCAAAAGGCCTTTGGGCTGCCACACTAATAGGACATTGCTTCCGCACCTTGGCCAGAGACACTTTCATCGCTGATTTCAGACTGGATAGACCGCAACCCCTCATCCTGCTCCCGCGACTTGCATAGTCCTATCGAAAAAACACAGTCTCTGCATTGTATCCTAGCGCAGGTGGAAGCCTCAACGCAGGCCTCTTACGAGATCCGCAGATGGCGCAGAACAATGTCGTAGGCAGGGTCGATGGTGCCGACGCCTTAGAGCCAATTGCCATCATAGGCATGGCCTGTCGTTTTCCAGGAAGCGTCTCCACCCCGGAAAGCTTTTGGGAACTTCTCAACAACGCCAGAAAGGGCCACGGAGAGGTTCCCGAAGACCGTTTCAATGCTGAAGCATGGCGACATCCCAGTCACGAAAGAAAGGGAGCTGTAGGTGGAAGAAATGGATCGCTTCGGCGTTCTGCCTTTCAAAAACTGCGGTTACTGATAGGATGCATCTGTAGATCCAGCCTGACAGCGGTTTCTTCCTGGACGAGGACCCAGCTGTTCTTGATGCTCCCTTCTTCTCTATTACGGCCAAGGAGGCCGCCGGCATGGTAAATACCCTGCTCTTGACGCAGTCACTCGAATGATTATCTGACAAGGTGTCCTAGGACCCAATGCAAAGGAAACTGCTGGAAGTAGCCTATGAAGGGTTCGAAAACGGTATGCATTTCCCATTAGAGACGATAGAAGAGAAGAACACAGTTGCTGACAGTCGCGTTCTAGCCGGCATTCCCATGGAGAAACTGGCCGGTAGCGACACATCAGTTTACGTCGGTGTGATGACAAACGACTATGAAATGGTCTCCCAAACCGATATCTACAACCTCCCACATAATGCTGCTTCCGGAACTAGCCGGGCTATGTTGGCAAACCGCATTTCATGGTTCTTCGATCTGCATGGCGCTAGTCTCGCGTTGGACACTGCTTGTTCATCCAGTTTATACGCGTTCCATCTGGCTTGCCAATCTCTCCGGACAGGAGAGTCGCGACAGGTACGTTCAAGACCCCCGTATCCCAACTTGCTTCCCAGAACCGGTCAACAAACAATAGGCACGGTATTCTGTGTTAATGAATGACTTGTTGACCATTTGTACAGGCGTTGGTCGGTGGTGCCAATATGATCCTTCATCCAAACTTCATCTCTCAGCTATCTGCATTGCATATGTTGAGCCCTGACGGTATCAGCCACTCATTTGATGCCCGGGCGAACGGCTATGCACGAGGAGAAGCCATCACCACCATCGTTGTCAAGCGCCTAAAGGATGCTCTTGCCGACGGCGACACTATTCGAGCTGTGGTTAGGGGCACTGGCGTTAACCAGGACGGTCACACACCTGGGATCACGATGCCCAGCAGCGACGCGCAAGCCGCGCTGATTCGGTCTACCTATGCTGCCGCGGGGCTCTCGTACGACGACACGGGCTATTTTGAGGCCCATGGCACAGGAACACCCCTTGGAGTTAGTTAATCCCAATTTTTCTTGGTCGCATGACATAACCTGAGAGATCTACTAACGAGGCTTCCCTCTGCATACAGGACCCTTTGGAGTTGAGCGCCGTTGGAGCCGTATTTGGCCCCTCGAGAAGAGGTACACGGACTCCCCTACACGTAGGCAGCGTTAAAACCAATATCGGCCATACCGAAGGTAGTGCCGGCCTAGCTGGCGTTGTGAAGGCGGTTTTGGCCGTGGAAAAAGGGTATATACCCGCCAACGCCGGTTTCGAGATATTAAACCCGAAGCTCCGACTCGATGAATGGGGTCTCGCATTGCCGCTCGAGACGATGCCATGGCCAGTCTCGGGCCTCCGCCGGGCAAGCATCAACTCATTCGGTTTCGGGGGCGCCAACGCCCACGTCATCCTGGACGACGCTCATCACTATCTGGAGTCG